AAATAAATTGCATTGTAAATAAATTAAGATGAAATAAAGCTCCTTGAATTATTTAGAATTGAGAGGGTATTGAAGAGTGTTATCAATGAGGATGAATAATAATATCAGCTCCTTGAGAATAAAAAGATACTTGACTTTTGCTTGTTCTTAGTTGGAACTACAGTACATGAATTGAAATTTCGTAAAACAGCCATCCACACTTAGTTCGCACTGAAATAGTCCCAGCTGGCACGTGTGAACTGAACAGTAATGGGTTTTGTACTTACTGTAGGAAGGACTTATATTCAAATAATTTGCACACTTTGGTTTAGATGGTTTCCTTGAAGAAGACAGGAAGACCAAAACAACAAAAAAAATCCAATTCTAATCTACTGGAAGTATTGCAGTCTTTGTTTTATGTACTGTATGTGGAATCTGTCTTCAGAAACCTTTGCATTGTTTTTATTGTAGAGCATACTGGAAATATGCCAAAGTCCTATCACCATTAATAACTGAAGAGGTTTCTTTTTTCTTCTTAATGCCTGAACTTACTAGGCAGCTCAGTCGCTTCTAATCCGGTTGCTGTTATGTTTGGCTTTCAGCCATCCTTCATCATGTTGCAGCGCGGCCGAGATCATGTCCGTGCTCTTTTTCCACACAATGAAGTACAAGCCCGAAGACCCAAGGAATCCCAACAATGACCGCTTTGTGCTTTCCAAGGTGAGGTAGCTGTAAAACTGTAACTGTAAAACACTAGGCCTTAAAGAGAGGGTTCCTTGTCTTTTACATCCTGGGAACTCCCTTATCAGGAAGTCTTCTTCTACAAGGATACCCTCCTCTGTTGTAATTTATATATCTATTAATCAATTGTAATTATAAATCAGCTGCGATATTGTTTATAACATAATTGTAGTTGTCTGTAAGTGTGAGGATCTATTATACACTGCATTGTGATAGTAGCCCATTCTGTACTACAGCGTAGTCATAAGTTTACTAATGATATAAGTCTAATTTACTGTATTGCTTTTCTAATTCAATAGTAATGGAGTGGTAATTCAGTAGTAATAGAGTAGTAATAGATTAATAGTAAACTGTTGTATACCAGAATGCATTGTAGTAACTAAATAATGACCTTAGTCTATCCTTCACAAAGTCTTGGAGCTGTAGGACCATTTTAGCACATTTCATTCAGCACAGAACTGCTCCAATTATGTTTACCTGAAAACCCAAATACAACTATATAACTTGAATCTCATAGTAAAATATACCCCTAGGGAGAGTTATGTGTTGAATTTGGTGCAGTGGGTATTGGGGAACTATTATTAGGTAAGAGGGATGTCTGTGAGGATTAGCTGTCTCAAGCAGTTAGATCTGGTCATGTACAGAATGTGATTGTGGTCTTGTGGTTACACTAACATAGCACTTTAGAGTTGACAGAATGGCTCCCTTGAAGTAATCTTATTTTGAGAAAGGCTCTTTGTTGGTATTACTGTAAAGGATCTTACCTCAGACATTGATTGGTTTTATCCCTAAAATAAGAATAAAATTGGACATTACTTGCAGTAAATCTAAGAAATAAATTGTTACTTATGAAGACAGAATTACCTTTTCCATTACATCTTACCATGAACGTAAACATTTCAGTTTATTTGTGTATAAAATATATTATACGTGTCCTAATATGTAACAGCTTTTTTATTAATGTAATAAAGAATTTCTCATCTTTGGAGCATTTTTGTCTGAACACACAATGCAGATAAGATTTCACTTAATACACATGAAAGATCAAAAGAAATCATCTCAGTTATTAGCATGAAATCTAAATATCATCAGCACAGCAGTGAAACCCAAGTCCATATGGGGTGAAAATATCTGACCAAGACATGGCATCTCAGTGCTAATAGCTGAGGTCCCAACACAGAACCCTGTGGAACACCCTGAGTAACTGGTGCAGCATAGGTTTTAAACAGCCTTCATTTCTGAATTTGCTCCTGGTAGTCAAAAATGGGCAAAGCTAATGAGATATTATAAACTTGGCTTTAGTTTTCGACTTTCAGCAGCTTTCCAGCTCCTACCTTAGTATCTTGATATATCTGTCGTTTCTTTGTAAAAGACGGGTTTTGTTGGCAGAACACGTGTGCATTGCGATTTAGAACCGGTGTGGTGGTGAATTTTGTAGGGTCACGCAGCTCCAGTGCTGTATGCAGTGTGGGCTGAGGCAGGCTACCTCAAGGAAAGCGAGCTGCTGAACCTGCGGAAAATCGACTCCGTTCTGGAAGGACACCCTGTTCCGGTAAGTGTCTGACAAGAGCACTGAGAATCGGACAACATTAGCAATCCACTCGCAGGCCTTGCGGCTTTGGGTTTAAATATGATTCAGTCCACTTTGATGATTGAATGGACACTGCAGGATGCCAAAAGAAACTAATTCTACTGTATTTCCTACAGTATAATGAACGTTGTTGCTTTTGGGTAGACAGGAGCTATACTTTGTGCATTCAGGAGCTGTAAGAATAAGCACATGAGCTAAGGTGATGTTGGCTCTCAGAAAGCCTAAAGACAGCTACGCCATCTGTAATCACAGTACAGGAAAAAGTGCTCTTCTGCAATAAAGATAATGAATGGGTCGTTGTTTCCCTTCATGAAAAATAGCAAAAATTACAAAATAATATTTTTGATTATAAAAAGGGCAGAAGGCCACTAAAGGGAAACAGACTTATACTATTTTACCACCAGTATCACCAGTATTAATGTGCGCCATTCAGTTTGTTTTCCTTATTTCCTGTTCTGTCCGGTTCGAATAGATGATAAATGAAGTAAGGAAAGGGGATTAGGTTTTAAATGCGCTTGTCATTTCAGAAGCAGCAGTTTGTGGATGTAGCTACAGGATCCTTAGGGCAGGGGCTGGGAGCAGCCTGTGGCATGGCCTACACTGGAAAATACTTTGATAAGGCAAGGTAAGAACACGCTCCCTCCTTTATGACCCATTGCAAAATAAACCCTGATGAACCTTTGCAAAAGGCAGTTGTGCACGAAGGTTAGGGGTATCTTTGCATTCCAGAGCTGCACATATGGACTAGTATGAAAACGGTAAGTGGGTGTGACATTTGACATTTTGCTTTAACAGATAAATAGATTCACATTGACAGTAATCACTGATCTTTCCAGCGAGGGCTGGAAGGAAGCCAGATTTATGCTAAGTGCAATTGGATTTCTCCTCTTTGTCCCCTCTGGGACAGCGATCAAGTTCCTTTCTGACAAGAAAGGTGAGAATTTTATAAAGGTATTTTGGAAGGCAAGACAGAAATACTGTATTAAGAAATGAAAGCTGAAGAAGAGAGGGAGGATTTGCTAACATAAAAGACTTAAATCAGTTTTCAAGATCTTCAGAAGGGTTTTTGTATGATTGGATTAATTTTATGACAAATTCAAAACTTTAGGATGAGTTATTATGTTTGGGCGGTAGAGTTTCTAATTCAGCTGGTCACTGAATTCTCATGCACCAGTAAACCTTTTCTGGAACAACCATTATCCCTGTTGTGTGTTATTCCATCCATGTAATTGAAAAGAATGAAGACATCACATTTTCTGAATTTTGTTTAATAATGAACTACAATCTCATGGTGCTGTAAACCAATTATTTTTATTTTTTTTAAATTTGTTATTGATTCTGTTACTCCAGAAGATGAACTTCGCTAGTGGGGTTTAATTATAGTTAAGTAAAATCAGAAGGTAACACGGTGCCCGAGTCTTTAAGATGCACCTAATGCAACAGCTAAGGTAATTAATCATTTCTTTAATGACAGAGAGGCTGATTTTGTGACCTTTGCTAAACAAGCTGTCCTTTATAGATTGATTTTAGTTTGAAGATGATGACTCTTAGCTTAGCTCAAGAAAGATGTTTGATTTTAGTACATAAAAAAATGGATGTGGGCATCCTGCCCTTAACTAATTGGATTCCCTCAGCCCACTAGTGTAAGCAGAATGCGCATATGAACCTTCTTTTTGCAAGAGCAGAGCTCTGGAAGTGAGCTTAGGCAGCAGCACTGGCCAGCTGACTTCTTGCTCAGCTAAAGACAGCCTGTTCCATTGTGAGACTGCTCTAGCAGTGGAGCTGTAAGCTAACCTTATCGTGACACACAGAAACCTTGTCAGCACTAATAAGACAAAGACTGATGAGGATCAAACCAGTTAAGGTGATGTTGATCCTCCAAAGACCGAAAGACAGCTGAAGAATTCTGGAGCTCACTGAACTGTGACATTGTTCGGTTAACCGTTCTGTCCTCGGTGCGGTCCACCTGTCTTTCTTTTTCCCTGCCTTCACACGTTCAAATATTCAAACCTGATGTGGTGAAAAACATTTAATTAACAGATTTTTGACACACCCAAATACAATCTGATATATGTCTTTTGATCATTCCATATTGGGCTTTAACAGTTTTACCCATATCAGTTCTAGGTCTATCGTGAAGCAAATCTAAGTAGGAACACCTAAATGTATTGCATTGTTTAACTAAATAATATGATTTTACAATTCTATTATAATATTTATAAAATACAGGTAATTGTATCATTAAGAATGGATTTTAGCTGCAGGTCTAGGCATGATGTTGTTGAAGGGTATTCCTATAAAGGTAGTTGAAGCTTTGTCCAAAGTAGCCTGCCTAGTCTCTTAATGCCCTGAAGGCTTGCTAAACAATAAATCCACCAGTGGTATCTGAGTATTTAGCTGTAAGCCAATATAATCCAGGCTGAGATTCTTTCCTTCTGTCCCTTATAAAGGCTTCTGCTTTGGTATTGGTGATTCTTTGATCTTTTAGGATATGCGGGCTAACTACTGACCTCATAACCCATTGCGTGATAATAATGACTTTAGCCATGAACACATGGTATGCTGAAACATGGTTATTGAAAAAACAAGTGTATGGTACACATTAAAAACAATGAGCACTGTGAAATTGCTGAAATTGCAAATTCGAAATTCTTTTCTCAGATAGATCTCCACTAAAAACAGATCAATGGATGGACTTTCCTTTGGGGACATAAACTCTAATAAAAGAGAAGAGAATGCATTTACAAGGCCTTGAGGGTGGTCTTAAAGCAGAATTTTAGGACAACACAGCAACACACAGATGTTAAGTATAATAAAAGCCTGTAATGTTAGCTGAAATTTTGTGTAGGAAAATTTTAAAAAGTGCAATGAGTAAACTGTTTATGAGATACAGATATTCCAACAGTCAGAAGCTGACCAGTGATCGAGGTTTTAAAGTTGTACATCAGAACTGAATCTACACCACCACTCTGTAGGTGAAAAGGTGTCCTATTGTATAATGTCAAAAATGTATTTGTGCAGAATGGGCTAGTGTTCATCTTACACAACAAAAGAAATCCATCTTTGGGACAGGGCCGAATTGATCACAGCACTGGTTTTAAAAGCGTGTGTATATTAAAAGATATGTTAGCGTTACTCCTCTGCTTCAGTTTTACCCTGTCAAAACAGGCCATTGTGCTGACAGCTAGCTTATGTGGGTGTGTCACTTCATCTGTGATTAACCAAAAGTAAAGATGGGAAAGAGAATTAGAAGAGGTGCCCCAGGACTAGCTGTGGAATTCTTTTCTCCCCTCGGAGCTGGAATGCATGTAGTAATGCACATTGTCTTGGTCAGTCTTCTCGCTTTAATGAAGATGTGTCCACTTGACTAGAAAGCTGTCAGGGTCCATTATCTTTGACTTGGCGTGATCAAATGAGTGTAAACCATCTTTTCTGAATTCTATCAGTACAGTTTTTCTAGGAACTTCGAACTGAGAGGGGATAACCTGTGAGACTCTTCAGTCAAGCAGTCAGTAAAATCAACTTACCGCCTGTGCACAGCAGATTTTGTTTTTGCTTCAGGCTGAGGAAGGGAGGATAAGGCTGGGCCAAGTGAAAAACTATTTTTCATTATATTTATTGAAGGACTCTACGATTTTGTATGACTCACCTCTATCCGTATCTGCATGACTGCCATTCTGCCTCTGGACCGAATCTAACAGATCTTCTCCTGCACCAGACACACAGTTTCCGATCAAATCTGGATTCAGCTAGAGGCTAGCTCAGAATACTCGTCGGAAAATGCTTTAGTGAATTTCATTTTTTTGAATCTTCTACGTTTACCTTCAGTCCTGAAGTGTAAGATTTGGGCACATCAGCATGCATTAAGGCACAATTCTTTCTACCTTCACCAGCTGTGATGCTGTGCCCTGGGCAAAACTGGATACCAGACATTTATCGGGGGGATATGACAGCGTTCCTTCAAAGGAATAAGCGGCCTGTGTCTCTTGCAGACGACGATGGTCATTTTTCCTCTCTCCCGTCTTCTCGCCTTCCCAGTTACCGTGTGTACTGCCTGCTGGGCGACGGGGAGCTCTCGGAGGGAGCTGTGTGGGAGGCCATGGCCTTCGCCTCATTCTACCAGCTGGATAACCTGGTGGCCATTCTGGATATCAACCGTCTGGGCCAGAGCGACCCCACCCCTCTGCAGCACCAGGTGGAAAAATACCAAAGACGCTGCGAAGCTTTTGGGTGGGTTTGCAAGGCTGAGATCCGCTCATGATGGCTGCTCAGGGAGTTGCTAATCACCTTCATGGATCTGTCTACTTCTGTCCTGTGTGCAAAGACCAGATTATTCATGTACACCTTCAGTGTAAGTGAGACACATCTACACATACTGAGACACAATTATCCATTCCCTCATAGATACCTAAATAGAAAGCTATTAGACAACTGACTAGGCAGGATAAACTGTGTTCACATCCAAAAACTGAAAAATGCACATTGTAGTCTAGTAAGTGTTTTACAGGTAACACATAAGCATATATATTTATAAACTATTGGAACCTTCTTTAGTTTGGTTCATAAGTATGCAGGTCATCGTGGAGCACAAGAGTAAAGTTCTTTTAATCCGAGATTATGTCAAACTATTTATAAATGCACTTGTTATTTAAACAAAATGTTGTTCTGCGGTCTACCCAAAAACAAACATTCCAGAAGACATGATGTGGGAATAGACATGTGATGGCTGTGGTTTGGCGGGTGATAGAGAATAAAACTCTAAAAAAATGCAGACCCAAATAAGACACAGCGTACCTCCATTCATTTCATGCACGCATGACTATTTAATGCAGCATTTTGCAGAATATCTGCTTTTCCCTGTCTAGGTCTTCAGTGGACTTCCCATTTGTAAACACTTGCTTCAGCAGGAATTCGGGAGATTTAGCAACACTCCGGGAATATTTGCAGCACAGTGCAGATCTCTGTTAATTCTGTTGGTTTTTCCAGGTGGAATGCCATTGTGGTGGACGGGCACAGTGTGGAGGAGCTCTGCAAAGTGTTCTGCCAAGCCAAGCATCAGCCCACTGCCATTATTGCAAAAACTATCAAAGGGAAAGGAATCCCAGGTACAGTATTCATGACTGGTTCATGAATGAGAGCACATCTACAAGTTCATCGCCTTATTATAGAGCAGCCCAATTCCACATTATAGCTCCCTGGTTTACTTCTTGTTTTAGCAGGGGATACTGCTTGACAGGGACTGCTCCAGTTTTACTGATTAACATTCAGTTTAGTGGTAATTAGATTCCTCTTAGTATGTAAGGACTCTTACCAAAATGTAGACAAATGTTGTGATGATGAAGTGGAGAAACAGGCGTCTCATTTTGAACATTTTGTTTTAGCATTTTTCATGAAGCCCATGCTCCCAGCATGCTGCGATGAACCTCCTTTTTGCAAGAGCAGAGCTCTGGAAGTGAGCTTAGGCAGCAGCACTGGCCAGCTGACTTCTTGCTCAGCTAAAGACAGCCTGTTCCACTGTGAGACTGTTCTAGCAGTGGAGCTGTACGCTAGCCTTATCGTGACACACAGAAACCTTGTCAGCACTAATAAGTCAAAGACCGATGAGGATCAAACGAGTTAAGGTGATGTTGATCCTCCAAAAACCGAAAGACAGCTGAAGAATTCTGGAGCTCACTGAACTGTGACATTGCTCAGTTAACCGTTCTGTCCTCAGTACGGTCCGCCTGTCTTTCTTCTTCCCTGCCTTCACACGTTCAAATATTCAAACCTGATGCGGTGAAAAACATTTAATGAACAGATTTTTAATACACCCAAATAATGTCATATAATTATAATGTTTCACACATGAAGCCCGTTCGACCCGCGCAGATATTTTACTGTCTTGAGGGGGAAATGCTTGACTGCTGCTGGCGAGCCAGGAGAACCCGTGCTGGATGAACTCTGTCTTGCGTTGTCTCTTCAGCAGGGGGCCTGAGAGACTCATTCATTTTGTGTCCTGTATTGTCTCTCTCTGCTCCAGTGGCAGAAGACAAGCTGGGCTGGCACGGCAAGCCTTTGCCCAAGGACATGGCTGACGCCGTGCTGAAGGAGCTGCACAGCCGAATCCTCAACAATAACAAGAGGCTGTGCCCAGCGCTGCCCATCGACGACGCCCCGTCTGTCAACATCAGGAACATCAGGATGCCCAGCCCTCCGAGCTACAAGCCTGGAGAGAAGGTACTCCACCCTTCCAAACTCCTTCCATAATGGTGCAGCAGCGTAGAGCGCTGACGGGGAGTCTGGCCTTGGAACTGGAGGTTGTGGGTTCAAATTCCAGGTGATTGTGGCTCTACCTTTGAGCAAGGCACCTCACCTACATCATTCCAGTACAAAACCCAGCTGTTTAAATGGGTATAAACGTAAGTCGCTTTGGATAAAAGTGTTGGTCGAATAAAATTCTTAATAAAATGTAACTGAAGTTTAAACTTTGACCGTAATGCACACGAAGCAGGCTCCACAACCGAAACGTTGTGTTCCTTTTCTTCTCTTTTCAGCATGGAATAAACCTCTACTTGTTCCTTTGCAGCCTGCGCATGCTGACGCAGCTACCTAATGTACATACAGGAGTATTGCAGAATGGAAGCTTATGAAATCTTCCTGGTGGCCTAGATGAATAGCCACTGCTTACTCCATGATCTGCAAAGCATCTCTCCTATTCTTCGTCATCCTCACAGATTGCCACGCGGAAAGCGTATGGAGTTGCCTTGGCGAAGCTCGGCCGGTCCAGCGATCGAGTGATCGCTCTAGATGGGGACACCAAGAACTCCACCTTTTCAGAAATCTTCAAGAACGAGCACCCCAGCCGCTACATTGAGTGTTACATCGCAGAGCAGAACATGGTAGGCTTCCGTTTTTGTTATTGTTGTGTGGTGAGTAAGCATGGGAATTCTGTATTTATGGAAAGGGTGTATTTTAGAGCCCTTGATTCTACAAAGCACACAGTATTCTGAAAGGATTTCTTAGAAACTATATTAGCAGTAATAAACTTTTCTAGACCTGGCTTAGGAAGGCATAAAATGAGCTGAGATTAGTGTGCCAATACTGTTCTTAAAATACTAAAATGTAACATGCATTTAACATACACCGTATTAGTTTCCTCTTCACATTTCTGTGTAGTTCAACATGTTTAGAAAGTGCAATGAAGTTTGGTTGTACTGTATTTCCATTATAATCTTTTCCATCTGTCGGCCTATGTGTCATCCACTGTTCAGATTATTTACTGTACATTTAGAGAAATATGGGTCGCACTTTCCAGTCTACTGTGTTAATCGTTGCAATTCTTGAAACGTTAATGCAGGAAATGCATTGGTATCCCTGCACTTTTGTGAAGACACATACACAACAAACTTATGTGAAATTATTATAGTTAAATACTATATTTCTCTGGCTGACATCAAAGGACAATGTAGGTCTAGAAGGATCAAGAACAATAACATGGGTTGTTCTCTTAATATTATTTAATATTCTCTTCTAAAGAACTGTATTCGCTATATATCATTTCTCTTGGTTTTCTGTTGTCTTGGTCACCAATCATTCACCATCTTTTTTGTTTTAGCTGCAGCTCAGTGAGGAGTCATTTTCCAGTTTAACACAAATAGTTTTATCAGCATTTAAATATGAGTGAAATATGTTTTTTTCATTATTATATGTACAACTAATTGGTCTGTTCACTTAGCTGCATTGCAAAACATGGGTAAAGACGTTTTATTGTTGTATATTTGAGACGTACACCAGTGCAATAAAGTTCTGCTTACTTGGTTGGTATTTTTTACCGTAGACCTGAATTAAGATTGCCTAAGAGTCAACATTTCCTCAAAGCTGGGACTGTAGTTGCTCCCAGCTGCTGTATTCCACATGTTCTCATCCTGGAGGAAATAATGCAGATTGGGGGATTTTTAAAAACTGCAATAACAGGAACTGAATAAATCTGGTCTTCATTGAAAATGGGAGGGGGTGCAGTTGGTATTGAAGGGAGAAAAAAGAAATTTGGACAGGACTTTAAAGCGTAAAAGAGGAAAAACGCCGGACTGCAAAGAAAAAAGCTGTTCTAAATAGTCCACCCGACCGAGCTGGTGTCTCTTTGTTTCTGATCCCCCTGCCTTCTGTTCTGAGATTTCCTCCCTGGGCTGCGCAGGAGGCTGGCTCACTTGTCCCTCTGCCACCCCAGGTTGGCGTCGCGGTTGGCTGTGCTGCCCGGGACAGGACTGTGGCCTTCGCAAGCACCTTTGCCACCTTCTTCACTCGCGCCTACGACCAAATCCGCATGGCGGCTATATCCGAGAGCAACATCAACCTGGTCGGCTCCCACTGCGGCATCTCCATCGGTCAGTGCCTGCCTGCTCCCCTCCTGCAACAGGGCAGTTCCTATTGACTATTTTGCAGTTGACATAAACGGTTTTGCTCACAAAGCAGGGTCCTCAACGATTCGGTTTTCCTTTTCATGATAAAAATCGTAAGTCATACATGCTTGGGAGGTTACGGACCTTAAAGTACTAAATATACTGACGTATGGGGTTCAGTTCATTTGAGGAATTTGATTTTATCTTTTCATTGAAAACGTTTGTACGTGACTGGGGCTAAGCGACAAATGAAAATGGATTGATGTTTGTTTGCCTTTTTATTAAAGCAGGTTAGTTTGTTTTGTGCTGGTAGCCTGTGCTTCTCAAAGGCTAAGAGCCAAAAAGCTGCACAGCCAATCCTTCAGTAGTAACAAGAGGCTGTAGCAGAGCTGCCCATTGACGATGCCCCATCTGTCTCTGTCACGAGTGTTAGCATGTCCAGGCCTCCCAGCCCGGAGAGAAAGCTTTGAGAGCTCAGTTTCAAGCAGGAAAAAAAAGTCCTAGAATGACTTTGCTGACGTTTACGTTACGCAACTGTTTTTTAAGTTATCTATTTGCTGTTGTCCTTGATTTTCTCCTAATTCTTTCATTTCTTATGGTTTGTTTCCCCACTTATTTCCTTGCGATGCCCCTGTTAGAATTCAACCCCCCCCCCTCTCGCTTTTCCCGTCTCATCGAAGTTCTCGTGTGGCGGCGGGGTTTCGTTTTCCGTTAAACAGGTACACCGCACGCCATGCTGCCTGCCTGTCTCCCTGCCTGCCTACCTGCCTGCTAGTTCTCTTGGTTTCGAAAGGCCTCTGCGCCACGGCCTTTGACCTCTGTGAGCTCCCTCTTCCAGGTGAGGACGGGCCCTCGCAGATGGGATTGGAAGACCTGGCTATGTTCAGAGCCATTCCCACGGCAACCGTTTTCTACCCATGTGACGGCGTGTCCACCGAAAAAGCAGTGGAACTGGCGGCGAACACGAAGGTAACCCTTCTTTATACAGTAGTTTGTTACCGATCCATTTTCTGACCGCTTCCTCCAGTTCAGGGTCATTCAGGGGGGAAGCTGGAGGCTGTCCTGGCAAGCAACAGCCTGGATGGGACGCCAGTCCATTGCAGTATTTTTGTTATTAGAAATTTGGCCAAAACAATTTACATTGGGCCGCTAGCTGAGAGGAGTACTTTGCTCAAGGTTACCTGTGATTCGCGCTGCCTTCCATTTTTCATTAAAAAAAAGCTGCCTTGCTCGTACGTCTCTAGTTTGACCCTGGATCACGTCTCCAGTCAGGATTCTCGAGGCGGTGGTGCACAGTAGGCAGTGTGCCATCGGTGTAGAGTTTAGGGGCACTGGTTGGCATCTGGGCTTTGGGCAAAACGGCGATCGCGCACTTTCATTTCTAGAACTGTGTTTTGGTTTGTTACAGGGCATCTGCTTTATAAGAACTAGTCGTCCAGAAAATACCGTCATTTATAACAACAATGAGGACTTTCGTGTTGGACAGGCTAAGGTATGTGTGCGTCATTTTAAACATAACGGGGATTTGTTTTTAAATCCCATTAGATTTCATTTTGTACAACATTTAACAAAAACCCTGTGTCCTTGAGAAACAGTAAAACAGACCCTGAATTAATGTACGGGTAGGTTAGACAGCACATTTCCATTGACCTATTTTTTTACATTGCATTTGGTAACTGTGAGAAGGTCAGGGTAGAGCCAACGTTTCAGACATCTTGTTCTCCCCCCAGGTTGTGTATCAAAGCAAGGATGACCATGTCACTGTGATCGGAGCTGGAGTGACTCTACACGAGGCGCTGTCTGCAGCCGAGCAGCTCAAGAAAGGTAAGCAGTGCAGAGCTGTGAATCAGCACACGCATGACGCTGCACAGGCAACGGAGCAGCACTCTCAGTGTCTGATACCGCCGTTTCATACTGCATGTTTCCCCATTTTCCTCTCCACATTATCTAGTTTCCAGAATGATATCCACTCAATAAAAAATTAAATACATACATGGCAACTGTTTATCATGCCTGAAGAGTTGGGATTTAAGAGACTATAGATTAATGTGGTATGCAAGAATTACTTAGAGGAGGCAGGTTGAAGTCACTCTTAAAAACCCATTGTGAATGTTGTACAATGGTGAGCACTTCTGTGGCATACGTTCCCTATCTTTATTCTCAGCATTCTTTATCCAGTGTTTTTGTCCTATCTAAGCACTGGATTAAATAATTGAACCTTTAACAGACCAAACTATAGGTATAATTTGAATTCTTAAATTGTGTTCGGTTTACAAACTATAGGAGGTTGCCTTTTGCCTGTTGTGTCTCATGAGTAGCTTTTCCAAATCTTTGAGTAGAAAAAAAAAACTTGCAAAAGGCTCTAACCAAGCAACCTTTTTTGGTTTCAAGTAGGGATTTGTTGAAGTTAAAGGTTCAGCTGTATTGAAAACCAGCAGGCATGGCAGTCCCTAGGACTGGGCATGCTGTCCACCATAAAACTTCCTTCAGTGTGCCCAAGGATTGCTCCTTGATTTACCTGTGGGCTATGATCTGAAGTCAAAACAATGATGCTCACTTTCATTTAAAACGTTACTACCCTGTGTTTTAAGGATTTGATAGATCTTTGGCACATTTCCTTTTAACACTCAAAATAACCACAAAACCGCAGAGCAAACGTTGCATGTTAACTTAAACCAAGCCACACTGCCACTAAGTGAGCGACTCATAGTACGCAGTAGCCTTGACACTCATTTCTCTCATCACTAGAGAGCGAGCCTCAGTTTGTTTTTCACATAGTCACTATTCTGCCATGTGGAATTCTTAGGATTTCTTATGGGATCTGGTTTTATATGTACAGTTTGTTTCTTTTTCCTTTGTCCCTGGATATTTTAACAACAGAATCTTAGCCAAGCGTTCAAAGTCAGGGTTTAAAATGGCAACAACGCTAAATTGCCCCTGTGAAGTCAAAGTCAAGGTTAAATACTCTTCGATGTCTTTTAATGAGCTAATTGGCTAATTTGGTCATCCCAGATACATTCTGGTCATCTGTTATAATTAGACCATTCTCCTTCTACTTATCCTAAAACTCGACTTGCAAACTTGTCCTTTGCTGAAGGTCACAGTGTGCCTTTGGAATTTCTGTTTTAATTGGTATCATACCAATGCCCAGACACGCTGTATTTCAGCATTATTCTGGATGTGTACTGGCACATTCACAGCTGCATAGCCACAGCCTTTGTTTCCTGTTTAAAATACAGTTCTTGTCCTGCAGAGAGGATCAACATCAGAGTGATCGATCCTTTTACTATTAAACCTTTGGATGCAAAAACCATTCTTGAACACGGAAAGGCCACTAGGGGTCGTATTCTCACTGTGGAAGACCATTACTATGAAGGTAAGACTGAACAAATAGGAGCCCACAAAGAGAATGGTTGAAATTGCTGAAATGCCATAAAACAGTTGTTCATCAATACATTTCTGAGATAATAGGGAAGTTCCTGTGATCTATGAAACTAAACAAGAGCCTTGTATTTAAAATGGAATTTGTTTAGAGTACATTGAATTAAGTTGTGTTTTATTACATTTGTGATACATTCTTCTTTGTTTCCTAAATAAGAAGGCTGTAGTTTTTTTTTTTGCATAAACAGAACACAGCAACTAAACATAGCCATTTGCTTTGCTTATAAATATTTGTAACTTCCACAAATGCAACAAATTGGTGGGATTATGTTTACAATCAGACTTCCTGGTCTGATTGAAATAAAAACAGCTGAACATTCTGTAGAGTTCTTGGAGATTGTAAACTATGAATCTTGAATGTCTGTATATTTCTGTGCACGTTAGTACAGTGCTGTGATATT